TTACTTGAAAAAAGCGATATATGGAATAGGTAGGGAGAACTTAAAGGTAGCGCGAAACTACTGTGCTATAATCCCTTTTATTATAAACTGTCAAAAGGCTCATTTTGTTAATCAATTGAAATAATAGTATTCTCAAGTGGGAGGCGTGAATACTCAGGTGGGCAGCTCACCTGTACACTGTCCTTTAGACACCCATTGAGAGGAGGACAGATTACTTAGCATGTTTTTGTTAGAAACGTGATTATAAATGCCTGAATACCAGGCGTAGATTACTGGGTCTGTAAATATCCTTACACCACTGTAGTTTCTAAAGTCAACTTCGCAATTACTTTATGAGTAGCCTGGTTCACAGACAGAAGTACAAGTCAGGCTGCATCACAGGCCACGTTTTTGTGTTTCTTTCTGGTTTACATGACTGCGTTATTTTTAGCCATTAGAAACGGATTACAACTTCATTTTTTTTATTTTGTTAATCCTGTGGTTAACATTTTTCTGTTTATTTGTTTTCGCTACAAATCAGTTGTCTATGGCTGACTGGGTCTTTACCTTCTTGTAATGGTAATTCAAATCAGTATAATCAGGCTACCATAAATGATTTCTCTGACGAACAAACATTTCTTCATACCGTCACGTTCGTTTGTATTAACCCGCTAACCCTTTCTATTTTTAGTCAAAAATTATTATTGCAGATGTATTGATTTCTTAATTTCGTTTAAGTTTTGTTTTTAGCCTGAGTTTTTAGCGTTGTCATACACCTTATTCAGCCCAATGGGGCCGAACTATCCGTTTGTGGCTGCTTATACTCAGGTTACGTCTTCGAAAAAATTACAATTACGCTGTCCACTTTGTTACATTAATGTTCAATGAAAGTAAAACAATTCAGTTATGTCAATTACAAACTGAAAAAGCTAAAACAGCGATCTGATTGCACTAAAACAAAACAAAACTGAAAACTTAACTAACAATTTGACTAAGGTAAGAGAATTATCCATCTTGCTTGGTTGGTATTCTCTTTTCGAAAGCCGGTTAACGCTAACCCAGGGTTAATTAAAAAGTTAACCAAAAAAAGTTTTTGATTACTTATGTTTTGTGTAGTTTTAAAATTACTCTACAATTTAGCTCAAAAGTGAAGGACAAACAACTAACTAAATAAATATCTTAATTGATCACTTCCTCAATGAGGCTTTTCAGGGCCAATGGAAACAAACGATGAAACATATAATGCAAATGAACATAACATGGTTTAAAATACCAACTGGCAACTGACAGGAAGCAGACCAGTTAGCTAAAACATCTTCAGCCTTTCAACTCTCCAAGACCTTGAATTCGTTATATGGTCAGTGCAGTAACTCTAACAGAGCCCACATGCTTTTCCTTGTGGTTTCAAAAGCTAGATGCAACTTTGTGCACTTTAATGTGTGCTTTTACTAGACATCCCACGTCCATTGAAATCAGCTTAGGATGTGTTACCTTTACTCAGCTGCTTTCTACTACCTCTGAGGTAATAACAGGGCTGATCCAGAAATAGTTTAATCCTTCCTTTTACCATATGATGATATGCAGTGAGGTCAAAGTACCTTTTTTCTGCTGGTGACAACTTAACCTTACTTTCTCCGTGTTTTGTCTCTGAAATGAGTCATTGTTTTGGCCACATCAAGCCAACGCATGTTATGTCTTCTTATAATTCTTCTTATATTCAGTATTTCTGTGTGAAAATGGTGTGTCAGTTGTTATTCAAACCATGTCGACGACTTTTAGACCTCCC